CTTTTAAATAAAATTTTTAATTTTTTTCCTTTGGTTACCAACTAGGCTGCACATCTTTCCCCAGATCAGCCTGCTTGTAACATTTTCTGACTTGTGATCTACATGTTCATTTTCTTTTAATTTTTTATTGTGATAAAATATACAGCACATTCTATGTGTCCTGTTGACCACTGTCAAGTGCACAGTTCTGTGGCACTAAGCATACTCACCTTGTTCTGCAACCATCACCACTACCATCTCGATCTTCCCGTCTTTCCAACTGGAATTTTGTGCCCATTGGTCACCAACTTCCACCCTCTCCTGTCCCTGCCACCACCATCCTACTTCCTGTCTTGGTGAATGTGACTACGCTAGGGACTTCACATAGGAGGAATCATACACTACTTGTCCTTTCTGACTGCCGTATTTCATGTAGCATATCCGTTTCCAGGTCCATGTGTATCATGGGTCAGAATTTCCTTCCTTTTTAAGGTTGAAGAACAGTCCATTGTAGCCCTGGCCAGTTTGGCTCAGGGGATAGAGCATCGGCCTATGGACTGAAGGGTCCCAGGTTCGATTCTGGTCAAGGGCACATGCCTGAGTTGTGGGCTCGGTCCCATGTGGGGGGGCGTGCGGGAGAAGCCAGTCAATGGTTCTCTCTCATCATTGATGTTTCTATTTCTCTCTCCCTCTCCCTTCCTCTCTGAAATCAATAAAAATATTTTAAAAAAGAACAGTCCATTGTATGTATATGCCAGTTTGTTATTCACATGTTGACAAACATCTGCTTGTTTCCATCTTTTGGCTACTGTACAAAATACTGTACAAAATGATTTCCGCCTCATGAGACACTGAGCAAAAGGCCCCAGCAAGCCACGCCTGGACTTCTGAGCCACAGAAGCAGTGAGGTAATAGTTGTGTGCTGTTGTGAATTGTTGTGTGTGTGGTAATGTGTTCTACAGCAACAGAAAACGCCTACAGGTCTCAAGCTCCCAGTCCAAGGAGAGGTGGCAGGTGTCCTGAGATTCAATAGAATCCCACCCGTCCAGGGCAGACAGGGGCAAGACTTGGGGTGAACAGCGGCCTTTCGCTCTCCGGGTTCCTGAGCACAGAAACAGGAATCCTGCCTGTGTCTGCCGTCCCTGCATTATCTTTGTAGACACTACTATGTTAGCCCACAAATCCATAAGCCTGCGTACTCTTTTCTCTGAGGTTTCCGATCTCAACACAAAGGGAGGGACTGGACAACTTTCTTGATCCTCTTCGGTCAGGACAATCTCGCAGTTACTGGTCCGTGACCGGAGGCTATCCCTGCCTCCTGATGTTCATCTGGTTGTAGAACATTCGGTTACCGTAATGAAACGTCCCTTCTGAGTAAGCTGGTAAGCTGGTCAGAGGCCGGCTCCTCTGACAAATATCTCATGAGGATGAAGAAAGTACATCTTGTGAAGGGGGAAACTGCAGAAAGATTAAATGGTTTCCCCAAGGTCAAAGTTGAGTCAGTGGCCAAATCAAGACGGGGACCTCAGCCTTGGGTTCCTAGGGGAAGTCCAGCATCAAGCCCGAAGCAGGGGGACTCATGCTCATTGGCTCAGTTCTTTCATTCTCGGACGCCTGTTAATTTCACCCCATCCCTGACGGCGAACCGCTAGTCCTCAAGCTCCTACCAGATTGCATATATTTTGAGGTCAGGGATTAGCCAAATAAGCTTCAAATGGCCTTTAAATGGATTGCTCAATGCCACTACGCAGTAGCTCTGGGGAAAATGGTCCACACTGGGTCCATCCAAAAAACCCTGGGAGATACCAGGGGATTTTTAGGTGCTTAGCTCTACCTCGGCTCCCCAGAAAACAGCTACTCTGAGTGATAAGAATCACCAGGAAGCTTGTTTACAATGGAGATTTGGGGCCGCACCCCACCCCCCCAGATGCTAATTCAGAAGGTTTGGGGTGGGCCTCGGGACCTGCCTGTGAACAATCACTCCAAGTGCGCCTGAGGCAGGTGGTCTCCCCTGCAGAGAGGCACCCAGTGGGCTGGAAATAAGATATCTGCGCAGGCTTGCCACACCGCATTCTGTGCACTTGCAAAGAATTTCAAAACTCCTCATAAACAAGACAGCGTTGCTAATGAGGAAATTGAGGAATCGTGCGGTCAAGCACATTGCCCAATGTTTACCATCGACTTGCTGTATGAGCCAAAAACAGGAAGGAAAAAAACACACAAAGCAAAACAAAATACAATCCTGGGAGGCTTTTCACATCCCTCCCCCCCTTCCATGTCCCAAGAAAACTCCAGAAAAGAACAGGAGCCCCGGGACTGTGTTGATATTGGCAGCAAACGCACACCCCGTTAGGCTCCACGAAAGGACAGTTTTCAAATCTCTCCCAGGCGGCCCCGCGGGCTCTAATGAGTTTACCTCATTTTGTCCTCCGCAGCCAGAGCCACTCGCGGAGGCCGGGCCTGAGCCCGTCTGTGGCTCTCGTGGCACCAACATAGAGAATGTGTAAACCCCCCCAGACATCGGGTCTGGCCTCACAGATCTCTTGATGCTTTCTGGATTCTTCCAACGTTAACCAGGTCACTTCGTACCTTCTCTTCTTTCCTATAGATGGTCAAGTCTGTTACCCAAATCCAGGGCCTAGTATCACAAGGACAACCAGGGTTTCACAGATTGGTTCACTGTATTTTCTCTCTCTCTCTCTCTCTCTCTCTCTCTCTCTCTCTCTCTCTCTCTCTCTCTCTCTCTCTCTCTCTCTCTCTCTCTCTCTCTCTCTCTCTCCCTGTACTTACGTATTCATTTAGATTTAGTCCCCACTTTCCCAGAAGTGATTTGTGATTTTTGGTAGTTTATAAGGACTCAAAATATAAAACACACACAAAAAAAACATAATCAGGATTTTAGGTTGAGAGAGAGAATAAAGGACAGTAAATGCTGTCCCAGAAATAAGATGTATTTGAATGCAATAAAGCCTTTCTATTCGCAATATAATTTAGAAAGTGTTTTGTCAAAGTTCTCTTTTTTTTTTTCAGTTGTCCGTGGTGCCTAATTCTTCAGAGTTTCAATTTCCTTCCTCCTACTCCTGCCTCTGCATCAAATAATTAAAAGCATTCTGGAAAATTCCTAAGGGATCTTGGAACATACAGATTTGTCTAGAAATGTGAGGATTCCTGACCCCATTGACCAGTCAAGTCACAATTGTAAGTATCCGTTTTACCCCCGGCTGCCCCCTGTGGTCATGGGTGCCTGCAGCTTCACGGCCAGGGCACTCCTAGGAAGGAGCCGAGTGGGCCTGGAGGGGAGCAGGCAAAGGGGGCTCACCTTGGGCTCTCCAGAGCCTCCTAATTCAGGGCCCAGGGGTGCTCAGGCAGCACCCACGCCCGGTCACCTGCAGAACCTCTTTTATTATTTCCCCTTTTGAAGATTCCATATTCTGAAAGCTTGTCGTTCCCATACAAAATGCCGTGATGAATAAAAAGAACTTTTCAATTTGCATTCCACTTCATTCACTCCTCTGTTCATTGAACAATGCTCACTGAGCTCCCTGCATGCCGGGCACTGAGCTGCCGCCCGTAGGTGAGGATGATCAGTCTGGTTTCTGCCTACGAGGCGTTTACACTCAGGCAGCAACTTGTACAGACAGCTGGGACCCCTCAATGTCATGCAGTCCGTGCTCTGGTGCTCTGTACTCGGGGACCTGGCCACTGTGATCAGGCGCTGAAATCCAGCCCCCCTTCGGCTCTGCTCGCCAAACGGGGAGCCCTCCCTAGCCCAGGAGACCACAGATCCCCCGTCTAATTGACCGCAGGGTTCACCTGGGCCTGCACACAATCCATCACAATACGGGCGTTCAGGTCTGCTCTGCACAGCCCACAGCGCCGAGCTGGGAAGCATCTGTAGGTGCGCAGGCTTTTCCTGATCAAAACACAGAGGCCGGGGAAGTGTGAGGGAGCATTGCCTCATCGGGAAACCTGAGACGTAGGAGAGCTTGAGTGACAGGAGCCAAGGCTGGACCTGACGTCAGAGGAGGAAGCGGGGCCACAGCAGGAAGTGAGGGGTGTCCATGCAAAGGCCTTCCCACGCATCCCACGGAGGGGTGGGAGCTGGGGTCTGGGTGTGGACAGCGATATGGCAGAGGTGCCATTAACCAAGACAGGAAATGGGTAGGGGTGGATGATGGATTCAGAGCTTGTATTCAGCATGAGAAATCCAAAGTGACCAGCTGCACGGTGATAACAGGCCAGTCAGTAATCCGGTGATTGTTCTGCAGACCAAGGAGATTCATGAACGCAAATAAAGGTATAGCCTCCGTTACGACTCTTTAAATATCCACCATTTCTCTCCCACCCCCCTTAATACTTTCTTCGACCACGAGACTTACAGCAGGAATTCCTGCTGAGACAGTGCACAGAGCTCTGTGTGACCCACGGTGGCCCAGCACAGCCCTGACCCTCGCCAGGTGTCCTCTGAACGTGAATCGATGGAAGGGAATTCTACGGCAGTTACTACCCCACTAGTTTGTCACGTGCCATCTGGTGCCAAGGCTGTGGTTATCTGGTCATTGAAAGATCCATTACTTCTCCCTCTGTGGTCCACATGGACAGAGACCAACGTGCATCTCCCACATGAGGATTCTGCACACAGTAAATGCACGACGAATACCTAAAGGCTTGTTAGCGCCCTTAATAGTTCCCATTAGAATTAATGTCTTATTTTAAGGCCTCATTAGGTCACCTTGGCTAAAAGGCACCGGGGCCTATAAATAAAGTGGAGGGTGTTCCCAGCATGGGAATTCCTGCATCCAGGGATAACTAGGAGAAGAAAGGCTTCAAGCTATCATATGTATATGATAATATATATAATGCCAAGTGTCCCCTCGGGAGTTCGACCGACCAGGAGTTTGATCGCTCACTATGACGTGCGCTGACCACTAGGGGGTGGCGCGGAACGAAGGCAGGCCCTGGCCAGCAGCCGGCAGCCGCTAGGGACCCTAGCTGTGCACGAATTTCATGCAATGGGCCTCTAATTTCTTATAAGCAGGTAGCTTCTTCACCTGTGGGTGGTCCTGGGAAAGATGAAGAGTATATACTTTTTAACCGTAAGAAATTAAAGCAATAGAAGCAGCCCCGGTAAGGAGCTGTTCCAGGCTGAGCACCCCTGGAAGTCCCAACGAAACAGAAACACCCCGGGGGCAGACAGCACATTGTTTACACACCCAAAGGTTGTGGAATGCCACGCCAGCTCTGAAGGTTAGGGATTAGGAACGGTAACAATACGGGCTACGTTTATTGCAGGATGCGTTAGGCGTCATTTTACACACTTTGCATGTGTGATCTCATTTTATCTTTAAAATAATTTTGTGATGTGACTAGTATCTCTCCCAATGGTTCAGATGAGGACAGAGAGACACAAAGCGACTGTGGCACGTCTTGTCTGGAGTGGTCCAGAGTCACCGCCAGTTTAAACATTCAATCATTTAAGGAAAACAATATTCACAGAGTGCCAATTATTTGCTAGGACTATGCCCTGGGGGCAAAGCCACGTTCCATTCAGACAAGGCCCTTGATCTCATAGCGTTCTATCCTAGCGGGGGAATAGACCGTCCACGGTACACCAATCACTGAACACAATGACTGGATTGGGTAGGTCCTCTGAAGGCACGAGGTGTGGCAGAGCGACAGGTGCTCTTGGGGCAGGAGCCTGAAGGACCTCTCTGAGCAGATCGTGTCCGAGCTGAGACCTTGGGGATGAGAAAGAGCTGCCAGTAAAGAACCGGCAGGAAGAGTTCATGCATCAAGTTCAAGTCTTGGGGAAGAATCGAGTTTGGCACATTCTGAAAGAGGCTGCTGTCTGTCGCGGGCGGAGGGAGAGCATATATATTGAGGCTGGAGTGTAGGCCAGACCAGGCCGCCTACCAGGCGGTAATCTTTAGCGAGGAGTCTGGAAGGTGTAAGCAGGGGAGAGAGTGACCTTGAGACTTCACATCACTCTGCTGAGCGCAGAAGGAACACAGGAGGCACGAACAGAAGCGACGTTTAGGCAGCAGGTGCTGCATGGTCCAGGTGAGAGGTGCTGAGGCATGGACGGGGGTGGTGGGAAGAGATGAACCCAACCTAGATTTTGCCCTTGAGCCAAGGAAAGGGGGGTCACCACTCCTTAAGAGCTGTCCTGTCTGTCCCTCACAAATGTACACTTGAAAGGATGACTTGTGGGACAGCCCCCAAAGGCCACTCGTCCTCTTGACATGAATTGTCCTACTCTCTGAGTCTCGCAGCAATTCAGATTTCTTTCATTCCGTTACATAACCACAAATTAGTTCACTTTTTACATGAATGGCCGAAGAGTCCCTTTTCAGACACAGTATGTTTTTGTGACCATGTTACCCGCTTCCCAAAGTAAAGACCAGTCCAAAAGGTACAGGGCACCTGAGGATGGTTAATGACGTGCTATTACTAGACATCGCAGACACCTTTTTGCTAGCACACAGAATAAAGTAAAAACCTAAAATATTCTTGTCCGACAATAAGAACGGAATGAGAGGGACGAGGAGACAGGAGTCGAAGAGGACCTCACGTCAGAGATTAAACTTCGGAACTGACTGTATCTGAGAATCTCCTGCCGATTTTCACTCAGACCACAAGGCACCTCAGCTGACCAGCAGGTGGTGAGGACTGGGGAGCCCCCGGGGAGGTGCCTCAAGGCAAATACAGAAAAGACGGGGCACCAAGGGGTCCTTCCAGTGCCCACCTCTTGTTCTGAGACACTTTTAACTGAAGAAAGTGGCGCCATATTACAGGCTCCTCAGTCAGTTTCCCATGTCCCAGCCGGCAGCTCACTTTGTCGGCAACCACGCTCTCTGCACTGAGGAGGAAAAACCTGAATTATTGATGATGCAGAGCAATAGTTAATGACATGGAAAGATGCTCATGATCAGTGATACCTGGTAAACAAGAAGAGGTTACAAACAGTATATGCGTGTGACTGTATTTTTGGTTTTAATTGTGTGTGTACAGAAATGAGTGCAAACATACACTTCAAAATGTTTAGCAGTTCTCTCAGTTGTGGATTTTATACATATTTAACTTCTTGGCATGTTTTGGTGAACAGTTTCCTTTTCATAAGAACAAAAAGCAGAGCTTTAAAAATGAAAAAAAGTTGCCTTTTATCTTTCAAAGATAATTTGATCTTTTTAAGTTTCTATTCCACCAGAAAAGCCACCTCCCTGAGTTACCCACTTCATAATGAACTGGAGCTTCTGATTTCTTCATCTGGGTCAGCAATTCATTCACATTAACCTCCAGACTCAGCCATTGAAAAATGCATGCTTCCCCTCTGGCCAAACCCAAGCGCACGCCAGTGAGGACATCATCAGGATGGAAGCTCTCGGAACGTCTGCCCTCCTCCTCGGCAAGGACCTCAGAGACCAGCACAGCAGCTCCACACCAGGCTGTGGAGGGCTGGCCCCGCACCGTCCAGGCTGGCCTGTCAGCCGCCCGCTTCTCGGGGTGTTTAAGGGCAACTGCCCTGATGTGAATTTACTGCCCCCGAAGCCCATCAGAACCCCGGAGACAGGAAATCTACGGAAATGCAAAGCACAGAGCGAGCTGCCAACCGCAGGCCCAGGACGCGCAGTGTGTGTGGTAGGAGCCTCTGAGGAGACAGCCATTCATCATCGGGGCTCCGGCCCTCTCCTCCCACAGAGAGAAAGGAGCATGGATGCCACACCACGGGCTTCAGAGACCACCGCGTGCACTTGGACGTTCCTCGGACCCCTGGGGAGCAGGGCTGTACTTACCGCCACCGCAAAGCCAGGTGAGGAAGCCTGAGAGAAGATGGGACTCATTTGCTCTAGAAACACTGAAGCCCTGCAGTTTGCCAAGGCTGCCCGCCCCCGCCCCTGACAGCCCCACCGGCTTTCCAGGGCACAGCCTCCTGTGCCCGACCCGAGATGATGCCAGGCCTCTCAGAGAATCAACTGTTTGAACAAGAAGGACATCCCCCCATTCTGTACCTTTTAAACATCATCTCACTAACAAGTAAAAGAAATACCAAGTTGGGGTTGACCAGCTTGAGACAAACCAGTTCTTCAATCTGCACCTGGAATCTATCGGGAAAATGCATGGGAAATGCTTGGGTGCCTCTGTTCTGGTCATGGGAGAAATGGGCTCCCCATACAGGACGATCCCTTTAAACCAAGCTTACAGGCCCTTTCACACCGGCAACACCCCACATTGCATAAAGGCGACGACACTGTGATCGGTGAAGAAATCACTGCTGATAAAGAAGCTCTTCCTTTTATTTATTTTTCCAAATGTACTTTTCCTGTGGAGCACATTCTGAATCTTAGAGAAGATTCAGAATAAAAGGTGAGAAAGATCAAAGACGACCTACTATCCCTGAGGATGGGTATACACATGACCTCACTCATCACAAGTACCCTGAGCAGAGCATTGCTGCTCCTACTCTTCACGGGGGGCGGGGGGGGGGGACCCCTAGACCCTTGCTCAGGATCACAGAGCCAGTGCATCTGCGGGCTTAGGTCAGCAGCCATGCCTGTGCGCTGGGTTATGTACGTAGACTAGTGTGCAGTACGACAGCCAGGCAGCTCTTTCCTCCTCGCAGACATGAAAAGTTGGAGCTTCTGGTAGACCAGTAGGAACCCAGACTACCTTCCTGCTGTGCCTCAGATTGTCATTCTTTATGCGATTTTATAATCTGGGTGAAACTAAGAATCTAGAACCAGCCTCCGTTCATAACAAAGGAAGACACACCGTCGATTGCCCAACCGTGTGTTGGCAACAGCACTGCCCATGAGTCAGCACAGACTTCCTGGAGCTCCGGGGGGAAGTGACAAGGCGACGCCAGCCCGGCCTCCGAGAGTTTCCACCTTCTGCTGGCGTTTCTTCTTGCTCAACCAAACCTCATATGCCACCTCCACCTCCCCTCCCCCACCCCCCGCCACCCCCTGGCCTTTTATAGGTGAGGAAACTGAGGTCCAGGGAGCAAGAGATTGTCTAGGCCCCAGTCAGGTGGTGGCAGAAGGGGGACTAGAACCAGGTCTTCTCACTCCCCAACCCCGGGCTTCTCCCAACCTCTCCTGCCTGATACACGTGACAGGTGATGGCACAGAAACCGTGATGGCAGCCACCAGCCATTGACTGGATGCTCATCGGGGCCAGGACCAGAAGCACATGCTTTAGAGAAGGATTTCATTCAATCCTCAGAATGACCAGCCTCCAGGGAAGATGAGGAAACAGGCTCAGGGGGATTGAGCAACTTCTCCAGGACCCCCTGGGGCACGGAGGCCCTGGGACAGAGCCCAGGGCCTGGAGCCACAGCCGCACGTCTGTCCCGGCTGCCTCTCCGCTCACCAGGTGTGGTGGAAGCTGCAGCGATTCAAGGCGAACAGCCATCCGTCTGCTTCCTGTAACAGGTTGTCCCACCTGCTTTCCAGAAGCAAATCTTCGCAGAAACAGACCTCGCGAGAAAGGGACACAATCGCTCTGCCCTTTCCTGCCTCCTTGGTGCCCAGGCCTGAGCTTCTCCACAGGGTGAAAGGCCCTACTTGGTATCTGCATCCATCTATCTATCATCTATCTATCTATCTATCTATCTATCTATCTATCTATCTATCTATCTATCATCTATCTCTCTATCTATCGTGTGTGTATCTGCTTTTAGATACAAACATGAGTTTAAGGGGGAAAAGGGCACAACTCAGGCACAAATAAAATAGAATAATCCTTTAAATGATGGAACTATAGGCTGCTGAGAGTGGAACGCCAGGTGTGCCAGGTGGTACTGGTATCCAGGTGTTTTGGGTACACCAGGTGGTACCTGGGCGTCTCAGTGCAGCACCTCTGCTCACAGGCTGAGGAGCACCAGGGTGGCGGAGGAGGCTGGGGCAGCCCTGGGCTCCCACAATGCATTGCTCTCTGCATCTGTGTCTTCAGCCTCCGTTTCTCAGGTGTGATGCCTGGAGCATGATCCTCAAAAACCAGCGTTTTGCAGTTGCCAAGAAGAAAGTCTTGTGAACAGGTTTCTTAAAGTCGTTCGTGCTTAGAGGAAACTGAGGATGAACTCGGGGGAAGATCGCTCAGCCTCTCTAGAGTGCAGGTTTACTGGCAGGAAATGGGAGGCGATCCGAGGCCCTTTTTACCTCAAAAATTCTACACTATCACCGCCGATCGGAGAAAGGAGGCCTAACACCGACTCCTCCTTCTGCCCTTGTTCACTGGCTCCCTCCAGTTCTTCTGCTCCAGTTACTGCCATTCAACTCCAAACGCTTTCTGGTTCATAAACAGTGCTGTACCTTTACGGCGGTAAGGTAAGACCCTTACACATATTAGTAGCAACAGGGAAGCCCCTTTTTCCATGCGAAGGAAATTTCATCTTGTTATGAATGAGAGTGCAACAAAGAGAGCATTCCCGCGGAATTAAGGCATGGACGGCGGAAGCTACCGAGCTATACAGCACAGTCACATGGTTTAATATTCTGCAGAAACCACCACGGTGATTCTGCGTGAAGGGATTCTAACTAGTCATTAATATAAACTTCACGCCAAGAGTTTCTGGAACCATATAAGTTAGAGCCCCAATTGTAATGATGACCAACGTGGCTTTGATAAAGCTAACAAATGCTTTGGTCTTGCTGCATTTTACATTTTGATCTATATGTTTATGTATGTTAACTATGACCAGGAAGATCCCTCCCCCTCATTTAGAAAGATAAATCAGCAAATGAAATAAGCTTATTCTAAAAGCTTGTTCACTCTCTCAAACTTTTAACATAAAACAGTCACTAATATATATATATATATGTACACACACACACACACACACACACACATATATATATGTACAGATACATAACTTCCTAGAGCAACGTGGGGACAGTAAAGAATTATTGTTGCCACTTTACCTGGGAAGCGCGGTGATTTTCCCCCACTTTTCCACACAGAACCTTCTGGGGCCATTGCTTCCTCGGAGAGAAGCGAAGCCTTCGTAGGGAATGCTGGACGTGCCCGTCACAAACTACCGACGAGAAAACAGGAGGAGGCGGTGAGGCCCAGCGACCAGCGGCCCAGGAAGGCCGCATCACCCACAGGCACAGCTCCCGGAGGAGCAGCACACTGCCCGCCCCGCCGCTGGGAAGCTGGGGACAAAGCTTATGCCGGGCACCGGCCATCCCCGAGCATCTGACACAGAACCGAGGAAGGACAGGGCTTTGTAAGGGGAAAGGTGTGGGGGCCTGAGAAGAGAAAACCTCTGTACCGCTGACCAGCTCGGGAGCCTACACCAGGGGTGGTTCCCACTACACGTGAATAAAGTGGGTGCATCAATTAGCCTAAGTCTATTGAGCATCAGCCCCTCATCAGCTCATGGTGGATTTTTAAAAAATGATGATGAAAGAAAAAATACAGAATGTCTGGGCCTGCAAACGTGAGGGGTAGGTCCTTGATGCAGAGCAGCTAAGACCCCACCTACGGGTAAGGCTCTGTCTGAGCATCCAGAGGCTTCCTCGTGTCTGATGTCCCTTTAGCTGCAACCCACCAGCAACTGCCCGGGTGACGATAAACACCACAAGAAAATGAGTTCGTTTTCCCAGCGTCCTTCAACTGCATTGTTCTCTCTAATTTGTTGAAAGGTAGAAGGAGGCAAAGAAAGGGCTCTTTATCAAGGAACTGGGTCACTTCTTAAGGGACCGAGCGGAGAGCACCCGTGGCTCAGGGTGCTGGGCTGCGGAGGGCCCGGGACTCTCTCTGAAAGGGCCACACTGCCCTGAAGGCAGAGGCCATCCTCGGGTCCCTGCACGGGAGGTGGTACTTCCTCGCATTCCTCCTCAAAGGCTTGGACTTGCCTGGGGCCATGGTGCCCAGTGATGGAGCCAAAGGACTGTGCCATCCAAAGAGTCTGGAAACCGTGCACCCCACATTGGCACATAAACCCGGGATAGATTTATTGGGTGTCCTTAGCAAGTGTTAAAAACACGCAATTCCAACAATAATTCTACTAATGTGTTAAAAAGATGAACCAATGGCGTCTTACCTGTAACAACCGCAGTCGTTGTTCATTGTTGAATCTCTCCACCGCAGCCCAGAACCAACGAATTACAATGTGATTGTCGTGGTACCCTAGCAAACCAATCACAAAAGCCTGTGTTACTTTGGCTTTTCTATCGTAAGCCACCACGACACACTGACAAAGGACCCCCAGACACATGTCATCGTCTTGGACTCTTTAAAGGTCATTGATAATTTAAGACTAAGGAGAACACCGTAAACATGATTGTATGAGGGTCAAAAGCCCAGCAAACACAGCACTGAGTGACAGCGAGAGGCCGTGTTTCCTTGTAGTGTCACCAAATACAGCGAGTGGAGAGAAGAATAAAAAGTGAGGGCTGTTAACCCTATCGCCTCTGAAGAACATAATCGCTGTGACTGGAAATGCTTAACTCTTTGGGCCATTCGTTTAAGAAATAATTTGTGAGGGTCACTATGCCAAATTCTGTATGAAGCTTGGGGGTACAGTGGCCAAGATATCAGACCCTCACAGGGCTTCTGGGAAAGGAGAGACACATTAAATAAATATATTGCCCGGCCAGTGTGGCTCAGTGGTTGAGCATGGACCTATGCACCACGCAGTCACCAGTTCGATTCCTGGCCAGGGCACATGCCTGGCTTGCAGGTTCAATCCCTGGTGGGAGGTGCGGCCAGGGATCACGCAGGAGGCAGCCGATCGATGTTCATGTTTCTCTCTCATCGATGTTTCTCTCTCTCTCTTCCTTCCTCTCTCTCTTAAATCAATAAAAACTTATTTTAAAAAACAATTATACAAATTAGTACATAATGGCAAAATATTTTAAAACTACATATAACATTCATATTGTTTAACCAAATTACTTTTTAGTAATAGAAAAGGAAAAGGAATTGTACAACTTTAATTTCTTCAACGAATAAATCCCCAATAACCTTCAACCTAAATGTTAATTTTATTCCATCCTTAAGTAGAATTTAAGAAAATGTTAAACGTGTCATCCCATGAGTAGATTAAGGAAGTGGTTATAGATGCCAGTCCTTTCAATAAAGAAAAATTACGCTCAGAGACACGGCTCAGAGATGAAGGTTCAGTTAGCGGTTCAAACCAGTTAACTAACACCGTCCATCAGTGTGCATCAAGCCACGGGAATTCTGGGTTGGAGGAAGTATGGTCCCCATGTTGCAGTATCTGGGATCTGGGATCCTTCCTTCCTGCTTCCTCTTCGACCAGTGAGAGTAAGAGAGGATCCAAGCGAAGGGCCAATAAACCAGGCTGGGCGTGGGGACGCAGGGCCAGCTCTTTGGTGCTGAGCACACAGCTTCCCCGTCTACAAAGCAGTGCGCTGGCTTGATTTACAGCCTTGGCGTTCTCTGAGCCCACGCACCGGCCCTTTGCTGCCTCTCCTTTGCTGTGTGTGCCAAGCCGTGTGGAGGAGGAGGAGTGTCTCATCGTACCCCCACAGACAGCTGCCTCACGGACATGTGGCGAGGGGCGGGGAGCCCCTCTTCTCGCAGTGCCATGGAGCTGGGCTAGCCGGCATGGCAGCTGGGTGCCCCACCCCTCAGCACGCTCCTCCCCAGGCGTTCATCTGATAAGCTCTACAATAGTCATAGGAATAGGTGCTCCATGAGTCATACACTGTGAATCAAAGTTTATTCTGTATAAATACAAGAGTGGCTGACGGGGTGAATGGCACTGCTAGCAGAATCGCCCGGGGTGGGGGAAATGAGCTGGTACTGTTTATGGTAACGTGCAAGTTATGCAGACGTTGGAGAAACTGTGTTCTAGTTAGTGAGCGTATTGGGTTAACTGAGTTAGAGTAACCAAGGCCGTCTATGGATTGTACTGTGGGCTGATGGACAAGACTCGCTATGGCAGCTGAACTGCAGAAAGAGCAGCAACGGAAACCGCAACTGAACGCGGCCTTGCAGAGAAAACGGGCCAGCAGACGGCCCCCGGCAACAGCACCAGCCAGAAGAGCCACGCACAGGCAGAAGCAAAAGCCAAAGCCGTTTAGCAAATGTCAAGTTAGGTTTTACTCTGAACTTTTAAAACTGTTCTTTGAATTTCTGTTTCAATGTACAGGTAGCGAGAGGACGGTTCGGGGATGAATTCAGTGACCTCAAGTGTGTCGGTTTCACGCCCCAAGCTCAGAGCTAGTGCTCACCTCTCACATCTGGTTTCTTCTGAGGGAAGCAACCAAAACCAAAACCTACACAAAAACAACTGCTACTTGTCACGACTCCCCAAGGGCTTTGCAATAATGCAATTTCAGGAACTGTACTCTTCCTTTGCTTAAACTCATTGGAGACAACTGTAGCTCTGGGCTACCACCCGGTCCTTTTAAAGGATATGGGCTCAGCATCCAACTTCAATGGCTGCACTCCCAGTTACTAACTGAGAATTTGCACTGCTCTATACAAACGCCACCGCTAGTGCTTCCCGTTTGCTGGCAGGTCCTGGAGTGCAGTTTTTACTACCCTTCCAGCAGGTTCCTTGTCAGTGGACGTAAGGCCTGACTGGGGAAGGGCCTGTTCAGTAAACCACTTGAAGGTTGAGAAGCACGTCCTGTTCCATTCACGTGTTTCCACTGTGAAGTACAACTGCTGAGCCAATCAGTTAAATGTAGGAACATGGCGTTTGCTTACTAGGAAGTCCAGAGGGTGGGCCTCTGCGAGTTTTAGAGCGAAGGGAGACTACAGGTGGAGTCTGAGCCAGCTCCCTGCTGCTTCCCTACCAACACCATAAAGCAACTAATTAGTGCTCCGATGGGCACATTTCCTCACCCACAATGAGGCGTTATGACATCCTGCGATGGTGTGTAAGCAGGCCTTCCTCCCCTGGGCAGGTGCGGTAACTAGGGAGAGAAGGGAATGTCCCTAGCCCAAGGTCTCAAAGGAGAGGGCCAGACCTATGATTAGGGTACAGTGTCCCTGCTGCCCCGGATTCGGACCAGCAGCCGAGCCTTCTGCCTCCCTTGCTCTCCAGCTTAGAACCCAGCCGCCCCCAGCCCAGTGTCACCTCCTCTGTACTCAGTGTTGTTTCTCCAGTCACTCAGGTCTATTTCGGCGGTGCCCGCGATGACCAGCTCTAGTTCCCTCGCATCGAACACAGAGACCAGCCTGGCATCCACCACCTATGGGGCAGCAAGAATACAGGGCACGGGTTAGGCACAGGAGGAAGCCCAGCGATCACCAAGCCTCGTCAGGAAAGGAGGGCACATGGAATCTGGGGGATTTAGGCGCTTTAAAAACACGGCAAAGCTCTCGACACACATATAAGGTATTTTTAGTACAAGGTCGATGAGATGGCTCTCGGCAGAATTTCTGTTTTATGATTGAGCACTGATTAGTCTAGTTTGTTTTTCTTTTCTAAAAAAGATATAGTGCTGTCCACCGGTGTGGCTCAGTGGTGGAGCGTTGACCTAAGAACCAGGAGGTCACAGTTCAATTCCCAGTCAGGCCACATGCCCGGGTTGTGGGCTCGATCCTCAGTGGGGGGTATCCATGATTCTCTCACATCACTGATGTTTCCATCTCTCTTTCCCTCTCCCTTCCTCTCTGAAATCAATAAATATATATATATTTTTTTAAAATAAAAAGATCCAGTGCTCCTACGGAAGAAGTCGCACGGACACTGCATCCTTGTAACGCCTGTGCAGACCCTCCGATTCAAGATTTCACATGTGGAGCATGAGATGTGACTGTCTGCATCCATCATGCGAGACGCATGACTTAAATGTTACCAGTGGTCTCTGAACTGTCAAACGCTATTTGAATTCAGGTCGTTTTACGTCAATGCTCTCTTGTCACTGGCGTGAAGCTTTCTGTGTGTGCTCTTGAAACACACAGGACAAAGCACTGGACATTTTACATGGAAAGAGCAGCCGTAAGCAGAGCACACGGGGAAGCACAGGGGACGGGCTGCGGCCCCGTGGACATGGGCCCGAGGACCACCGCCCCGCCCGCTGGCGCCGCACCTCATAGAAGCCGCGCACCAAGCTCTCCGTCTGCTGCACCACGCCGCGCTCGATCCGCCACTTCACCATCCTCTCGATGTACTCCTTCTTGTTCTTCTCCGTGACCGGGATGTTGGCACCCCCGGGCTTCAGCTCGCGCTCCGTGATCTGGGGTCAGCACAAGAGGGCTGACAATGAAGCGAGCCCTCGAGGGGGTGAGAACGCTGTCCCGCAAGGAGGTGCGAGGGGCGCCCGGGGCCCACGCTCACGCCACGGCTCAGTGACACCGGGCATTGAGCGGGTGTCCCAGAGCCTCCGTGGCTAAAACATGTGTATTGCCAGTGGGGAAGGTTAAGTTTTAAAAATCCTGACTAAACAGATAAGCCTTTTAAATGACCATAAACTGGTTCCAGATTCTGGGCCACTGCTAGTTGGATATTTGACAAAAACGAATTTTCTCAAATTCCTTTAGGGTTCCGAATCAACCACACATAGAAAGCCCATATTTAAGTAAAGACTGACTTTAAGGAAACAGAATTACATTCAAGTGAACATTAAATCGAGAACTTCTTTTCCAAAACACGAAATCCAGAAAAGCAACCAAATATTAATGTCTAAATAAGATTATTACTTATGAACTATTATGTAATTTCTGAAAGAAATCTTTCAAGCAACCCTTCCATCGACTTTGTAAAAAAAAAAAATCAACATTGGTTGATTGGTCAATATTTTCAAATCTTCACTAAAATATTGTTTACTTTCCCTCAGCTTCGAAATAACCAATTTCGGTTCTGAAATATGAATGAGAGTTAAATCCCAGTGCCAATTAAATAATTCAACATTCAACTCTGGGGTAGCATGGACTTTTAAACATTGTGTTTAAGGCACATTTTAATATCTTACATGGATATTTTAGTTGGAAATAAAAAGAAGGTTTACAACACACAAATAGCTATCACACTCTGTACACTAGAACACCTTTATCCGCAGTTGGCATGAGAATCATCTTTGCCACCACGATGGTTGTAACTGTACACAAACCTGGGTTTAAACCACCCAGCAAGCCACACGTAAATGCACATCTGATCTTAGCCACTAAGTCATTCTTCACCGACCAGCCGCCTCCAGTCACCACACTGAGACACCGGCTGTGCACACCCACAGACCTGCCCGAAGACTTCTTCGTTCACAGTGAAGGTGAGGTCCAGGATGTCATGGATGTCGTTGTCCTTCATCCACTGCAGGCTCTGGTGGAACTCTTCATCCAGGTACTCGAGGTCACTCAGGTCACACAGACTAGGATGACACACAGACGCGAATAAACACGTGGGCACGGCGAACAGCAAAAACCCAGAGTCACGAGGAAAGAAATGAAGAATTAAAGACAAGAACAAGATCAACACAATAAGCACTGGCTTCTGAAATGTACTTATTAGTCAAAGGCAGTAACCAAATCCGGGAAATCAGTTAGAAATTTGGTATACAATTTTAACATCCTGGATGTTTATAACACATCTTAGGAATCACCCAGTCTGACCTGTCAGAGACAGAGAGAGTTGGAGGTGCAATGAGTGACGGCCATCAGCACAGTCACCCACAACTCGTGCCCCAGAAGAGACTGGAACTCAGGCTGACAACTTGGGTCCAGTGCCCTTTTGGCTATGTTACACTGTCTTATACAGTGTTGTCCTAATTAGAAATTCTTCGTATGTTTCGGTAATGCACGTGAGCTTTTCCTCCCTAAAGACCAGATATGGTCCACATTTACATACATCCCCTTTTTCTTCATGGTTCTCACTTTTTCCATGATTCTGAAAACAGCAAGCCCCAAAGTCTCTCTATAATTATAAGGGTTTTCTATAGCTCTCTCCTCTTTTTTCCTGCTGAGAAAGGATCTACAGGAGGTGGAGTAATTATTATGGAAATGGAAGGTGGTAACATTTGATTTGCTTCAGTAGTTTTGAAATTCCCTCCCGTCAGCCCAATTTCAAAGGTCAGGCTGTTTGGTTCAGTCTAAACATTTAGTAGGCCTCAGCTGTGTTCCAGATCTCTTAATAGCTACTTGTTAAACACTAATTGACCTCCAGGAGATAATGGTCTAGCTGGGGAGACAGGCACACAAATTGATGAGTTAATATAAGGTGATTAGTGATAGCCCAGGGTGGGTAACACTTATAATTTGTGCAATGGTGTATAGGTATGTTACACTCCCATTAGAAAATAAAAGAAGGTAAGGTAGCTACAGAGAGCTCTCACAGCAAACATGAAGGTCATGTACTTCGACCTAGAGATTCAGGGAGAGCTTTCTGGTGTAGGTGATACCTGTGATACATTTTGCAGGATGTTTAAAAGCTAGAGAGGTGAAGGGGATGGGTGAAGAGGAGAATCGGGGGGAAAAGGAGAAGAGCAGAACAACAGGAACAAATCATAAAGGCAAGGAGTATGCAGAATACTCCAGCATCCTGGCAGGAACAGAGTGACCCGCTCGATGGAATGTCCAGGGACTGAGCCTAGCAGCTGGGAGCAGGCCATTCTAAGGGACTTGGTGATTCAGAATGACTGAAAGGCTTTAGGGAATACCATGGTCAGCTGTGTGATGTGAATTTCAATTGTTTCTCTGGAAATGGCAGTCAGGAGGATTACTTAAAACAAGGGGAGGTGCGGTTGTTATAAAAGGGTGGGGATCAATTATACGTCACCATAGTCATCTGGGAAAAATAAGACAAGGGTTTTCATTAGGGCACAGTTATTGAGGATGGAAAAGAGAAGATGAATTTAAAAAGTATTTAGGAGACAAATGTGGAAATCAGTAAATGGGTTTGTAGGGGGGGCGGTGGTGTATAAAGAATGATATCTAAATAGGGATAGCAAATAAACTCATGTTGCAAGTCAACTCGAATTCGTCTTGAGGGCTACCAGTCAAAAAATCCCCGAAGCCACACATGTTTGCAGGAACAAGCAGCGTAAAGGACCTGTGGATGGGGCAGGAGGTGGGGAAGTTGGGCACCTCCTACTTCCTGATGGAGGGTGACTGCTGATTTCCGACCAGAGCCACTTGAGACTGTTGGGACCATGAATTGTAACTGGGCACATGGGAAAGAGTACACTTTCAGGTCAGGGAAAAGTGAGGGGTCTCGTTTCAGCCTCGCTGATTTCGAGGTGCCCACGAGACATGCATGGGAGACATTCAGTGGCATGTTGACCACTTCAGCCTACAACTCAAGGGTGATCAAAACCAAGAGTGCTGATTTGAGCATCAGAAGGAGAGGAAACTGGTGAAGAGATTTCCCCAGGAGAACACACACAGACAGAGAAGGCCAAGAATGGAAGCTTCTGGAACACTGAGGTTTAAGGGAAAATCAGAGGAGAAGCCCACCAAGGAGACATAAAATCGAAAGAGGACAGGGCCATGGATGCCATGAGGTCAGACTCAAGACACATGGGTGGGGTTTGCGACGGTCAACAGTACCAAAAGCAGCTGATGGCCCATTAAGATAAGGTCGAAACAATATTCTTTAAAAGCTTTGCTAGGCTACTGGCAGAAAGAAGCCAGGCACCGTGGGTGGAGGGTGTGCCAACAGTTGGTATAGACTGCTCTCACCGAAAGCCTAAATGAGACGATGAGAGATAAAGCCATAAAATGGGAAGATACAACAGGAGCTGGGGGACCACGGAAGAAGGTGCCCAGTGCCAGCTGCCCAGGGCTTCATCTGCCCAGATACCCACAGGGAAGATGGCAGGTGTCTTCCTATTGACCCTCGTACGAGCCCCCTATGCACACCTTATTTTCATCTGAGGTCTAGGCTCCTGTTTACAGGGAATGAGCTACACAGAGCCAACCATCTGTGCTGTCCTATTGCAGGTGTGAGCCACTACCCCACAGACAGGCGCCTGCTCCTAGTCAGCCTTGTCAGCTCCTACTGACTACAGGGCAGAAACTGTCTGGCTTGACATTTGGCAATAACTGCAAACTTCCATTGTGACAACAATGAAGAAAAGTTCTGTGAATGCCAATGTTTCCTCTGCCACCAGAAGGTACCGTTTTGCATGCAGGGAGATCTCAGGAAAAATACAGGACTGCCCAGCCCTAACACACAAACAAAAATAGGACAAAAACAAAGCAAAGGAGAATGGAAATGTGGACTAAGAGCAAGCAGTTAAAAGTGTGCATAAAGCAAAATATAAAGTGCATCATGTAACAGATAGAGGACTGTGAGTCACCCAGGCTAACCCACAACTATTCTATTAATAATCAGCATTACCACCACAGGAATTCCAGTGCTGCAGTTGAAGTACGATTGTTTTTCAGAAACATGTGTTGCAACAAGTGAGGATCAATTCTTTGAAGGGCAGCAAAACTAAGACATTGGGGGCGAGACAGAAGGAAAGGGTCCAAAGCAGGAAAAACGCAGCACTAGCTATAATCGTTTCAGAAACCTATCCCTCTCTTAAGTTTAGTAACAACAGACTTTGGAACCCTTTCCAGTAAGGGCAATCCCGCAGCCTTACACGCTAACAACACGAGCCATGAAAACACTCTTACATTCTGAGGAGAGCCTTGTAAAAGGGCCGCGTGAAGAAGGCATCCAGCAAGTACTGGTGTATGAGCGCCAGGCCCAGGATCCTGCCGCTGAACCGGAACCTGCGGAGGAGACACACGCACGCGGTCACTTACACCTCACGGACCAGGTTCTACATGGTTTCACTGGATTTTGACCATCTACATTTGTGCAAGAGCAACTGCCTCCCGGGCCGCGGGCGCGCTAGGCTGTGTCTTCCCGAGGCCAATAGTCACATCTACGAGTTGAAGGAAGGTGTCTCGCTCATATTTACAGACACGCTGCTCCCCCTGCCCCCGTGCCAACAGCGTCTGCCATCTGCACCCGCACGGCCACCGGGAGTCCCCTGTGCGCACTCAGCGAAATTCCCCCAACCGCTTCCAAGGGACCGAGAGAATGAGGCCGGTGGTGGAGAAGGAAACGCTGTCTTCTCATCTGTTTGCATGAATACGAGCAGGATTTCTCTCATGCAAACCCAGCAGCAGCCCCCCTTGGAGAAAACCCCAGTCTCAGAGTGACAACGTGCCTCTCCCTGTGCTCTCTCAAGCCCCGCCCCGACCACTGTCACCGCCAAGAGCGATGCATGTGGGCATTTGCGGGAGTTTCCTCCTGGCACATTCTGTTCCCTAAAACTTCGAGGCTCACGTCCATTCTGAATCACTTTGGAAACTTTACTAAATATGTCTGTGATGACTGGGCTTGCTGACTTGAGATGGACCCTCGTTTTCTCTTTCAAAAGTACTCCGTTTCCAGCCCTTCGAAGGTCGGATGCCTTCCCAGAGCATGAGTCCACCCGGCTCCCTCCTGCCCGTGCAACAGGAGGGTTCGCAGCCATCCGGGGACAGATGTCCGGCAGCTTTGTTTGTCCTTCTTTCCGCTGGTGTTAGCACAACTGCAACAGCTTTAGTTGGGAGGACTCCAAATTGGGGCCAAACGGAAGTTCATTTGAAACATAAGTCCTAAAAGTGATGCCCTCCACCCACCAAGACTAACCTCATGACTCAATTTTTTTCATGAGTCCTACTCATGGGTTTTTTTTGTTGTGTGTGTGTGTGTGTGTGTGTGTGTGTGTGTGTGTGTGTGTGTGTGTTTTGTCACTATCAGTGAAAATGAGCAGAAACAAGTAAACTGGGTTATAAAACTAAAGTCTGTACATGCAGGAATTTCTTAAAAACGTAAGGACGTTTAGTCAGAGCACAATCGGGGATTTTCAGAATAAATAATGCCCAGACAGACTCCTGTGCCACTTGTCCTTGGTGACTGTGTGTGAGAAATTAGAAAAAGGGGCAAACCCAGGCCACAGACTTCAGGTGGCTAATCGGGTCCGAGTGGCCACTGCTGTGAGTCCACTGCCTGCCCTTCTGCCTTCAGTCGCTCCAGCCCCTCTCCCTCCCCATGTTAGCCGCTGCCCAAGGGCAGCTCTAGAAGCCGCCTGACCTCGGGGGCAGGACTTTGCCCTACTCACCCTCACCCCCCGGAGCTCAGGGAGCAGAGAGGGGCCTGGGGATCTCACTGGGAACCTAACATCATCCATAACTTTCATTGGATGGGAGAAACCCTTTGGATTCTACCCAGCTCACTTAAAATTGGTCCAAAGGAACACAATCTATTCCTGCGTGAGACTAACAAGAAAAATCAGAGTCAAATGAGATGTTTAATTGAAAATATGGCCCTTCCCGGTTCAGGTTTGATTCCAATTCCGGTCAAGGGCACAGACCTCGGTTGCAGGCTCAATCCCTGGCCCTGGTCAGGGTGTGCGCGGGAGGCGACCAATCGATGTGTCTCTCTCACATCAACCTTTCTCTCTCTCCGCCTCTCCTCCTCCCTCCCCCTCTCTCTAAAAAAATCACACACACACAATGCATGAAATCTCCTCCAGTAAGGATTAACAAAAAATAAGTAAGAGCCACACCAGCCAGGGCAATAAGAAAACATGATTTTCTCTGAGAAAAAAGGTGTTAGAATCAAGGATTCCTACAAAAATGGATATCACAGAAATCAGCAGAAGAAAGGTGTTGAGGAAACATTTACTTACCATTCATGGTGATTGTCCACAAAAGCGGACATGGGACTTATCTGCACTGTGTATGTGTCATTGGCCGAATATTCGAATAAGCCGTAATATGGGTTGAAGAGTTCTCTGGACACCAGGAAGAAGAACTCTCTGGAAGGTCCGCTGTAATCCAGCCTTTAAAGAAATCCACAAAAAGAACAACCAGTTGTATATTTTTTCCTACACATTAGACGCCTTTTCTACGGAGCTCAGCTTTCCACAGAACACGCATCGCAAGTCCAACCGCCCTCATTACAGGACTGTCCAAAACCAACAGGACCATCCGATTTCCTGAGCACATCCATGTCTTGGCCCAGGACAGCGAAATGCACATTTTATGGGGAGCACATCCAAGACGAAAGCCACACATCAGATAAGGGATGCAGCAGGCAGTACGTACTTTGATGGTGTAAACAGATATGAAGAGGTAAATATTTTCAGTGTTCGGGGCCAGGCTATAAGGAAAGGGAGAACAGTGGGAATGCTCTCTTGAAAGAGGGCAAAACCAGAGGCCTGAGCTGCCTACCTCCAGGGACATGGAGTCCTTCCTTGGGGACTTCTAAACACTTTTAAATGGGGGAGAAGGAGACTTGAGTGCCTTGGGTGAGAGGCTATTACAGATGAAAGACCCCCTAGGAAGACCAGAGGCAAAAGAAAATGGAATGACAGAGTTCCAGTGAAAACTTTAAATTACAAAACACCAAGGAAGATTATAGACAAGAAAAATGAGGGTGTCAAAAGCTTCATCATGGAAGAATTTGGAGAAGAGGCTGAAACTCTAGTACCGACCTACCGTGTAAATCCCACCTCAGTCACAAGGACATCAAGGACAAAGAGAAGCAGGAAAAATGACTATGTTAGGTTTGAGGAATGACAAGTGGCCAGCAATGCTGAGAGCAAGACATGCCGTCCAGAGGCGTTTGCAACAAGCAACTGGATACGTTAAATTTAAAGCAGAAAGTATAAAGGACGCCCACCCCATGACAAATGCCTACGCCTGGGCTCAGGGACAGGAAGGGACGGGGAGGGGAATGGAAGCAGTGGGTACGTTGGGGTGGTGGGATTTTTATAAGACTTCATTGGCTCACTCTGCTTTTTGCCTCTTATGGAATTTCCTCCACGGGCCCTACTGCATTTTTTTTAAAGGAAGTCATCTGAGTCTTGTCCAGTGATGGAATTGGGTGATAGAGAAAAGAATCCTGGTATAGGTGGCAGATGGAGCTGGGAGACGAGTAAGAAACATAACATGACTTTTATTCAGAGTTGAGAGTTTCAGAGAATTTACTTGGAACAGACGTCAGCTAGTCACAAACTGCTTTCTCAATGTGTGCCCTATCTGAATACAGGCGTATGCTGTTTCCTTCATATTTCTCATGCAGTCAACTTATAAGCCACTGGCTTTTTCAGTGTAGCCTTGTCTTACACAATGTCTCTGAAATTATGATGTGCTAGCTTTATTTTTCCTGATACCCATCAAAAGAAATACGTAGACATTAAAATAAAAAATGCCAGTCTGTGTAACAGCGAAGGCCTTATCACACAGCCCCTGTGCACGCTGCACTGTGGGTGACAGAGTGTGGGCGGCCAGGAAGCCTGTGTGTGCAGGAAATGCAAGCCTAGCCGCCTCTCAGGCCTGAAGGTGACATACTGAAACCGCCTTGGGGGAGATCGAGTCCATATTCCTGCCTACTGGGCCCCGGTGGATGCAACTGGAGGGGCCCCCAGTTCAGGGGGGCGGGGGGCTCTGCTCAGAGTGTAGGGGCCTCCCGGGTGCAGGGCACAGACCACACCTCCTGGGTGCTGAGCTGGGCAGCCCCGTGGCTTCCTCCCTCCGTCCTAATTTGATCTCCGACGCCACCGCCACCACGCAGAATGCTTCTTCCACTTGAGTGTTCTTCACATACTTAGAGGCTTTCTCCCGGCAAACATCTGAGAGCCTGTTATGCTCCGGGTGCTAATCTGGATGCTGACCATAGACACTTTTTTTGGAAAAGTCATTTTCTGTAAGAACTCTTTTGTGCAGCAGTTCTCATATCCCTGGTCTCTCTCCCTCCCCACTCACCAACAGGCCTCTTCTCCCACCCCCTCAAGGAGGGGCTGGGAATTCCCTCTGCTGGGATCCACTCCAGGCCCAAGTCTGACCTACAAGGCGGGGTCTAAGACTGGAGGTGTGGTCCTCTCCGCTGGGGCTCGGACAGGGCTTTGCCCTCCTTTCCTGCACACCTTTCCCCGTGAGTGCAGCTGAGAAGTGCCCGCCCGTGGGGCAGCCGCCTTGCTGACTCACAGCGAGCTGAGTCATCGGCTCATACCTTTCTCCTGGGCGGCTGCAGCCCCGGGCTCTCCCGTCCTGTCTGCATGTCACCGAATCTGTTCAGAACCCAAGTGCTGGACGCTATGCTTTTTCCTACTACATTTCACTTTCTGAGATGGAGTCCATGATTCCGGTCTACCCAGGTCCCGGTGGATGCAAACCTTCTCTCTACATGTCCTGCCGGTGGTGAACTTCATCAGGTCCTGTGTCTTTCCAGAAACAGAAAATGCCAGTGGTCCCTGGCACCTTAGACGCCATTCTGTCCATATCCTCGTTTTACTGAGATGACTGGGACTGAAGGAAATCACTGATTGGCATCAAATGAAAGCGGGGTGGAGGGTCCGGGCCTTGACGCTGGCTTCCTGACCACACCCCGCCCCCCCCCCCCCGCCCCTGCCCCCATCACCCATCACTCCTCACAGCCTACCCTCAGGACATTGTAAATGTCCAAGACTAACAAGAAAAAGTCACTTTTAGACCAGGGTTGGTCAACTATGGCCTGGGGGCCAAATCTGGCCCATTTCCCAGCTTTGTAAATAAAGTTTTATTGGCACACAGCCATGCCCATGTATGTGCTGTCTGTTTGTCTGTGGCTGCTTTTCTGCTAAGAAGGCAGAGTTGAGTGTGTGGGATGGAGAATCCAGGGCCCTGCAAAGACTAGAATATTTACTATCTAGCCCTTCTCAGTACAAGTTTGCCAACCCCTGTTACAGGCGAAAGTGGGAGGAATGTGCTAATTCATTAAAACAACTGGCTTACTATAGATCCCCTTCTTGAGTGAAGGTTCCTTCAAGGAAATGGGAAATGACTACCACATTCTAGGGCAGTGATGGCGAACCTTTTGAGCTCGGCGTGTCAGCATTTTGAAAAATACTAACTTAACTCTGGTGCCGTGTCACATATAGAAATTTTTTGATATTTGCAACCATAGTAAAAGATTTATATTTTTGATATTTATTTTATATATTTAAATGCCATTTAACAAAGAAAAATCAACCAAAAAAATGAGTTCACGTGTCACCTCTGACACGCATGTCATAGGTTCGCCATCACTGTTCTAGGGTGGATGCAACCTCAAGGTGTGGCCACAAGTAAGCGTGAGGCCCCGAGTGAGTGGTCCGAGCTTCACGGGGGCTCTCGGACACAATCCCGGCCCCGATCCTAAGGGTCACAGGCAGCTGAAACACAAGCCACATACTTTGAGTCACTGTTCGTACAAAGAGACAACTGGTCAAAGTAAAATGGCTTTTTAGCTGCTTAAAATTCAGCTGTGGCCTTCCGCTGGAAATAGCAGGTTTTTTGAGATTGGCCTCTCAGTGTCTAGTGCAGCCGTGGGCAAACTACGGCCCGCATTGAAAAAAAAGACCATACCCTTTTATGTACTGATGTTTACTTTGAATTTATATTAGTTCACACAAACACTCCATCCATGCTTTTGTTCCGGCCCTCCGGTCTAGTTTAAGAACCCATTGTGGCCGAGTCAAAAAGTTTGCCCACCCCTCGTCTAGTGACACCACGCTCACGGTGGATTATAATGAGCAGCTTGTGCGTCTGCCTCCTCTGTGCACACGTCGACATTACTGAGGGCAGGGACTATGTTGTTCTCATTTTTGTATCCCGTAGGGGCTCCATATATGTTGTTGAACCAACGCATGGAGCTCTCTACAGAAATCAACCTCCTTTACCTGGTGAGTTGGCACCTGGCAGAGTGAGTAACTTGGCACAGGTTTGCCTTCAGTGGTATGTTGACTCAATGACATGAACAGGCTGTGCCCATCCCTAACTCCATTCACAAATACTGTCATAAATCACTCAAGGGAATGAGCCTTAGAGAGCTTGGCGTTGGTCTAGTCCTTTCCAGGTGTCATAGCATCTACTACGGTCCAGTTTGTCAGGACAACAAAGAGGGACCTCATTGAAGGGCTCCTTTCTGATGACAACAGCTGGATCTGGCTGACCATCACATAAAATATTTCCTGAAAAGTTAAGCCAAAAAATAAAAACATCCCCCCTCCCCATCCCCCAAGAGAGAACACAGCTACCAGTTCTCCGGGAGGAAAATGTATCACCCTGAGCTGGTCAGGCTCTTCTCCACTACTTTGAACTCCAGGAGCCCGGATGGAGTCCAACCAGGGCCAGCACAGCTTTTAAAGTTTGAGTTGATTATAATCCCAAACTCCAGGACTGCACACCAGAGAGCTGGTTGTATCTACAAATGACAGGCCGACCTAATCCAACAGACGTGTCCCAGCAAGCACCTGTGCCTGTGCTTCCTGGCTTCTTAGCAACCTCCTCCATGTAAATAGTTCCTCTGACTCATGTCCCAGGGATCCTTTGCCACATTCCTGTTTTGCCAGTTCGGTTGGTTCTGCAGCGACAGGCTTGGCACGGAAATGCAGAAACTCCGACAGCGGGTGTGGGGCCACCAGCAGCTGCCTGCCAGGGCATTTCGGAATCAGCACAGATGTCTTCAGGGGGGCGGTGCGGTTTTAAGCCCCAAGAAGTGCTGATAAAGCATTTTATTTATTATTTATTTATTTATTTATTTACGTTTTGATAAAGCATTTAAACACCATCATGCTGCCAGGCTGACATGGCCCAACTTGTTAGTGGCCTCCAATATCTGTTAAGAACAATTTATTTGCCCTAACTGGTTTGGCTCAGTGGATGGAACGTCGGCCTGCGGACTCAAGGGTCCCAGGTTCAATTCCGGTCATGGGCATGTGCCTTGGTTGTGGGGACATCCCCAGTGGGGGTGTGCAGGAGACAGCTGATGGATGTTTCTCTCTCATTGATGTTTCTGACTCTCTATCTCTCTCCCTTC